TCCATTGTCCATTGTGATACTGCACTTTATGTACTTACGTTTCAAAGGCTTGTAAACTACAGTTGGCACTGTTTCAATAAATGAAACAAATTTTCTCACCACATCTTTTGAGTCATTTTGTCCAGCATTTGCAAGCTGTAGACTCTCTGTCTAGTCAGAGCCATATATTGTATAATTGATGCTTTCAGTTTTCAGTTGAATTAATTCAATCCAAGTCAATGGAACACTCACAAGATGTCACCAAAATCACACTGTCTCTTTAAAATCTTTCAGAAAATGATGTAAGTGTATCGAATTATATCGAATCGTATCGAATCGTATCGTTGGCTGAATATCGTGATATATATCGTATCGTGAGCTCAATATCGTGTATCGTATCGTATCGTGAGATTAGTGTATCGTTACAGCCCTAACACACATGCAGACACACACTCTCTATGTGACCATTGAATAACAGAATCACAGTTTCTAACAGTTGAGTTTTCCTTTCGGTATGATTTTTGTTGAGACAATCATAAGAATGTATCTCTGTGTGTCTCAGGTGAAGAAGCGCGTGGTGCAGGTGATCAGTGCGATGGCTCATCACGGCTACCTGGAGCTGGAGGGGGGGGAGCTGCTGGTTCGATTCATCGTACAACACTGCGCCTTACCTGACACATATCAGGTACAACTTCTGTTGGATTTAACCTTAATCAGTGGATTTGTTTGAAAGTTCATATAAAGCTGAGCGTTTTATGAGAAGGTGTAGACTTACAAGGCTTACAAATCAAGTGGATCAAACTTGAAACCTATTTACATTTCTCGATAACATACTTAAGATTTGAATCTAAAACATGAATCCATCTGTGTGTCTCCAGAGAGGCCAGAAGCCCGCAGATCCAGAGGAGGTGACCAACGAGGCTCTGAGGTCGATGTGCGACAACACCCTGCACCTCCTGACCACCACTGTGGGACGACTCGCTGATGTACGTAGACAATCTATTAGGGCTGCTCAATTAATCGTATTTTAATCGCAATTACGATTATGGCTTGCAACGATTATGAAAACAACATAATTTCAAAGTAAATGGATAATCGTTTTTAGTAATCGTGATATCAATTGACCCAAATAATCGAGATTATGATTTTTGCCATAATCGAGCATCCCTACTATCTATTGCTGACGGATTCATCTGGGTTCCCAAAAAAAATGAACGACTGATGTTTGTTTCACTGTTGCATTTTTTTTGAAGCTGTAAAACAGATTATTTCAGGTTAAATGAACAGCAGTTGTTGTCCATTGTATGTGTTAGACTAATTAATTGATTAGAAATGTAACGTATATTTTGTTGTTTTCAGGTGCTGTGGCCGAAGCTGTTGTACTACCTGACCCCCCCTCAGTTCAGCAATGCCACCATGCCTCTGTGTAAGAGTCTGATCGTGCTGGGCAGCAAGAAGAAAAGTAACCAGGAGCCCAACTTCAACATAGACTTTAGTGTGGAAGGTAGGGGCAATATTTACCGACCACATGCATGTACGGTTGGGATGCAAATAATCCATTATTCTGGTGATTATTTGGTCTATAAAATGTCAGATAATAGGGAAAAATACCAAAGTGATGTCTTTGACTTCCTCTTTTGCATGACATCTTACTTAAATGATTAATACATATCCAAAACAGTTGTTCCATTTAGGTACAAAGACAGTCCTAAAGAGCAGCTTTGAGAAAGTTACCATTCTTATTGTGTTTCATGATCACAACATCAAGTAAAATGTGTCTTCTCTGTCCTCCAGTCAATCTGCCCTCTCCTCAAACACTAATGGTCAGGCTGCTGGTAAGTAAATCCAACTCTATAACTAGAACACATTTCTTTTATCTCTGGTAACTTTATATGGAGCCAAACTTTCACATCTTTTTGTGACTAGAGTTTAAAGCAAAGGCTTACTGAACATCCAGTCATAAACAGCTGAAGAAATAGAAATACATTTAGTACAATATAATGAAATCCAGGGCCTGTGTTAGACAACTATTTGTCATACCTAATAATTATCATCCATTGTCGAGTCTGAAGTTTACACATTTTGACTTAAAATATTGTAATTTTAATATTTGGAGCTGCTCTTTCTGTATATTCAACAACAAGGTTGAAAAGAGTAATATACTAATCCTACTCAAAATGTAATTAGTAATCTGAACACCCCTGTCTGGTATCTGTGTGTCTTTGTGTGTGTGTGGTGGTTTGTGCTCCAGGTGAATGCAGCGTTCCCGTTCAGCAGCAGAGGTCACGGAGCTCCCTCCCTGTCTCTCCTTCAGATCCTCTGCATCAACATCCACCCCAACACAGAGATACTCTGGGAAAAAGAGATACCTCCTCTGCTCTCCATTTTAGAGGGTATGAACATATTTGAACATGATCATTTCTATGTTTATATTTATGAAATAGCTTTGAAGGAAGCCTGCTTTCCTGTAGGAGAAACCAAGTGGATACTTGCTGTGCTTTTTTAACAACGTTTACACATATGTAGGGTGCAGATGTTTTGGGATCCTTTACCTTTTTCTGTCTCATGAACATTAGTTTTAGTCTGCCTGTGTGTGGTTTGTTTTCAGAGTCAACAGCAGAGAGCCTGGATAAGAAGCAGTGGGATGAAAAGTTGCTGCAGGTGGGCTTGTTTACTCTATATGAGAATATTATCCTAAATATACTTTGCTCTTAGACAGCCCAAGTCAGACTAAAAATTCCAATGTTTTCCCCGGAAAGATTGTTTAATGGAGTAAACATTACTGTCTGACTCGATAAAGTGGATTTTCTTCTAAATTCTTGTCTCTAGCTCTTGTCTAAGACGCTGTCTACTATTGATGATGACAAGTGGGTGTGTCAGCTGGCAGCAGAGGCCACGAGATACCTCTCGACATATAACAACGCCTTGGAAGAGAAGGTAAGAGCTTCAGCTTTTTCCCCCACAAATCAAAAAAGTGAACTCAATCTATTGTTTTGTTTTGTTAGCAGTAACATAAAATAATTTGACATGGTTTTGTTGTTTGTCGTGCGGCTAGGCCCTCACAGTGAGCCTAATTTAGAGCTTCATGTTGATCATAATAAAACTCAAGATGCCGACTGTGTTCAGTGGTGATTCCCATCCTTTAAGGCTCATGACCCCCTCAAACAAAGCTACGCCTCTTTATGAGAAGGGGCAGGTACAATAAGATGTTCTTCTCCCTGCTCCTTTCCACCATGCGCTATACAAAAATAAAAGACCAGTACAAGTGTACAGGTTTTGTTTTAAAATAACTGCCATGTGTGGAATAAAGAAACGAATGACATAACAGCCCCTGAGGTGAACAGTTAACCTGAGTGTAGAGACTTAATGCTGTTTATTTAACAACAGTAAGTTAAAGATTATTTTAAATGTTCAGTAAAGATGTAAAAAAAAAAATGTATTGTACAAACTATTTCTTCCCAAACCTGTCAGATGAGAACTGTTGATGGTGAACATAGATTACAAACCAGCACTGATCACATTTAACATCAGATATGTAATATAATTTGTATTTTTCATTTTCTCTAGAGTTTCCTGTATCAATGTATCGGAGTGACTCTCAAACAGTGTTTCAATAAGGAAGTGGTTAAAAAGCAGCTGCAAGAAATGCTCCTCACAGCAAAACACAGTGATGCCATCGAAAGAGAGGTACAAATGTCATACGAGGATTTCTCCTGTGTTGTGAATCTGATATAAAAATGAGCATTTCTCAATGATTGCTATTACATTTTCATGCCTGGACTTCTTGTTTCTGTTCTCTCTATCTGTCAGGGAGTTGCAATGGGGGTGGGTCTGTGTGCCAACAGCCACTTAGAGGGAACTCTGGCAAAACTGGAAGAGTTCGGCAAGTCGGACGCCTTCAAGAAGTCACCGAGCATCTTCAACCTTCTCAAAGTACAATAAACATTCATCATATATCCATCATGTGAAGGATCTGTTGTGTAACTGCTGTTGTTAAACACGCTTCTGTTGTCTGTCTTCACTTTCCTTTCCTCAGGAACGTAACGATGTCGAGGTAGAGAAAGTGAAAAGCACATTAATCTTGTGTTATGGTCATGTGGCCCTGAACGCACCACCGGAGAAGATACTGACTCGCATCGATCAAGACATCCTCCGCGCCATCAGCAAACACTTCAATACCAAGGTAATGTACATACAAAGGTAACATAACTTTGTTATTAAAGAGACACAAACTAGCAAACAGGGAAGAATGACACTGATAATGAGGGGTTGAAGTACAGAAAATATTGTAATAAAAGCTACTTGTTAAATATGATGAACTGGTCTGATTGCAATTCAGAGTTAAAATAGTTTTCTGTTTTCCAAATGGATCCATAGTTTTAAAATGTAAACTGTACCATTTATAATATCAGCTCACTGATTGGTCCTCTATGTTTGCTAGTGGGCGGCTCATTTTAAGACTTTTTCAATGTTGTCAGTTCAGGTTTGTTGCTTCAAGTGTTTTTCCCAACATTGCCCTGAAATAGACCCTGTGATGTCTGTCAGCTTGTTTATTTAAAACTCATTTCTTTATGTGTGCATCTCGCAGTGTTAGGGAGCAAATGGTGACTTTTTTTTATTTTGGAGGAAACAAAAATTGAAATAATGAATTAATTATATTTTTATTTAACACTTTTATTAACAATACAAAATAACTTTATTGGGGTAAGCCTTAAATCCAGAAAAGCAGTCTGCATTTATTTTAAAAAAAATTGTCCAAACATGCTTTATACCTTGTGAAAATGTTCTTCTGTTGAATGAATCCCTATAGCAACGGGGAGGCAGCAGTTAGTATGTTGGTAAATCTGCAGATTTCAGAAGTAACACTGTCGTCCGCTGTGTTGACTTTAGTTAAATCACAAGTCAAATTATGCCATTCTCAAAAACAGCCACACACACACCTCTGCACACATCACCCAGTTGAGATATTTGTATGTTCTCTCATGACTTTATTAACTCTATTTCACACAGGTTCTGGGGATTAAAGTAGAGACAAAGGTATTGTTGAAGGAACTCCGGGACCCTCTCTCTCTCCTTCAGCTTTCTCTTTCTCACTTGCCAGTTAACTTTTCTTTATTTCACCTCGCTCTCCTTCCTTACTCTTTTGTGGATTTTTCTTACAATTCTGCACATGTTGTGGTGATATTTACTAAAACTTTTACGGAAAGTGTCTTTAGGGAAAGAATACACACCTTGCTACAATGAAGTAACTGTTTTTTCTAAAAGCATTTACTTTGCTGTATATTGTATTTCACACTGTTAGAGCACTAGATTTCACAAGTGTCTTATATGGTTAATTTGATGACTGTATTTTACTTCAAACATGCACAGTTAATAGAGTTGACTGGTCAGAAGTGAAAAGGCTCTTCCTCAGTGAAATATAGTTTGATGAACATGATCCAACAATCTGTGGAGTATCAAACCCCTTCAGACTGAAAAGGTGGCTGTTTAAAAGGGTCAGCATTGATTGAGAACAGTGGCTGTGATCAGTTCAAATGGATTCTAGTCATGACCGATCATCGCTAAAAAGAAAACAATTTAATCTTCTATTGCAGCCACTTTTATAGCCCGCAGGAAGTGAGGCTTTGATACTCTAAGCTTCTCTAGATTTGGGTGAATTAATGAAAATACATTGCCTTCGTTACTAGATGGTGTTTCTAACCTTGCATCTAAAGCAAAGTGTGTTCCTCTGGCCGTTACTGAATCCTTTTATAATTATTTTTAAATGACCTACATTACTAGCAACATCCTCGCTACATTACTTATGTGTAAATGGGTTTGAGTCAAAAGCTTCTTGTCAAATAGACATGTTATGGTTTCATTATTTGGCTCCTTTTTAAAGAGCTGGTTTACAATAATGCTGCATTATTTATGCGGTTGTACGCTGTTAGAATGACTTACTGTTTTTTGTTTCACTGCTACAAACAGAGATTGAACTGAAATTTTAAAAATAGCTTTTTATCCAAATTAAAATGAGTATAAAAATCCTTCCCCTTTGGATCCATCTCCCTCCGGTCCAGACACGTTCATTCTTTCTTTCCTTCATTGCCTGATGGTGGATTTTTGGAGTGTGAAAGGGCTTTTGTAATTTCTTGCTAAATCTTAACTGCTCTTTTGTGACTTCTTTAAATAAGAGCCTGCTGGTGGTTTGCTGTCAATCGATCTCTAATCTCTAATCACACAACTCTGATTTCAAGTGTCTCTCCATACAATAGGCATGGAGGATCAATCCCGCTATCCCCACAATTCCGCTTCTTGGATTGATTGCATTGATTGCTTTGTTCTTATACTGCCGGAATGATGATTTTGGATCAATCGCTTGTAGAGTTGCATCTGCTAAACTGGGCTCCAGTTGGCCTTGTTGTTTGCATTCCTGAAAATGCAAATAACCCTTTTCTTCATATTGTGAGCCTACTTGTTTTTGTCTCTCCCTATAACAGGACCTGACTATGAAACTCAGTTTGGTCCAGAGTGTTGGGCTCATAGCCAAAGCCATCAGTGAGTGTGTGAAGAAACAAGGCTACGTCTTCTCTCGCAAACAGGAGATCATCAATGTCTTGCTGGTCAGTAGTCAATTCGGTTTGTTTAACTTTAGGGTTGCAGAATTAATCCAAAACTTGTTGAGATTGCAATATGGACTCGTGCAATATTCAAATTGCAGGAAGCACAATATTAAGTATATATAAGGCTAAATACTGTATGTGTTGAAAACACATCATGATACCGCAAAGATATCCCTGCCTACTATTTGTACTTTACACACTTAACAAAACAAACTGATCCTCTTAAAAACTACTCCATTAACATTTAATATATCTTTCAATGAAAAATAAAAGTTAGGTTTAAAAAAAGATCAATCCCTCTAACATACTGAATGGTATTTAAAGTACTTATTGTTTTAAATGGTATAGCCCCACAAGTCACACATGTTTAATTGTGGATGAAACTACAATTTCTCTGATCTGTATTCATGCTGTTATATTTACACTATTCAGGATTTCATCAAGGCAGAGCCAGCTGACTCATTGAGGACTCCACTACGCCATCTTGTGATGACCACCTTTGCCAACCTTACGTATCCCTCAGCTTCAATGTTTATCACAAATGTCCACAAAAACAGGACATCCCATCATTTCCAGTGTTTCATCCTTGACTTGTAGTGCTTCAGGCCTCTGGACCCTGCACTCAGTGAGAATGAGAGCTTCGAACTGCTAAAGGTGTGTGTGAACACTGTGTTCTCTCTGCCACCCGAGATACAAACTCCAGAGAAAACCAAAGAAGAGGAGACACTGGACCCCAAGCAGAGAAAAGTAAGATAGAGATGTGTGCTCACACTGTTTAAACTATTTACACATTCATTCCTCTCAAGAAAAACACACACACTTTTAAACATGTAAACCTCATTTTGTGCAATATTTTTCTAATTCTGTTATGTTGTATGTCCTTGTTTTTCTGTGCAGGCGCTGTACACAGACACTCTGGCTGCACTGCAGGACCTGCTGAAAAGTTTTCTGGCCAGGGACCCCACACCTGATGGCCTGCAGAACATCTTTAAGGTGATGTTTCAGACTAATTATTCAATTAAATATTTGTATATTTGCATTATTCTTTCGTGGTTTTATTGTTCTTTTTAGACGTGATCTAATTAGTGGCAGATCTTTTTAGCACATTGCTGCACATTAGCATCAGCTAGCTGGTACCAAATCCCACCACCACTATATGTTGTGTCTCCTGTCCTTTATACCCTTGACTTGTGTTTTAGGTTGTCTAATTAAAAAGAACAATTGGATTAGCTAGATGTCCATTGGCTGTGAAGCTTTGCCTGCGGTATGACTGCAGCACTGTGTTGTCTGACATGATGTGTGTTATTATGCTGTGCAGCACATTGAGTCGTGGTTGAGCTCCGGGCAGGACCACGAGAGAGAGAGGTCTGTCAAAGCTATTTCCCATCTGCTGGCTTTCTACCTGGAAAACCTGAATGTCAAGGTACAGACACACAACACACACATCAACCCTCAGTCTTTGTCTTTCAGGTTTGATATTTAACAGCATTCTTGTAACTCATTCAAATGTGTAATACAGACACCCTAAACAAGGATCCTATCAGTGATAATGTTTGTTTCTTTACCAGCTATTAAAATGTACATTTTGTGACTTTCTTTTCCGGTGTTTCCCGCCTCTCTGTGTAGAACATGGTGACTTTCCACAACCTTGGAGCTCTGCTGGGCCGCCTGTCTCCCCGATGCTCTGACCCTCACCCTGCTGTGCGCACCGCTGCTGTGGACTGCATCTACTCCCTGCTTTACATTCAGCTGCGCTATGAAGGTACAGAAATGTTTACTGTGTGTTTTACAGTCACTGCATGAAAGTTCACGTGATGTATACATTTTTGTGATATAACTATGTAAAACTAGAATGTTTATTTATTCAAGTCATTCCAGGAGGGTAAATTAAAACATTTGTATTTCTCACTCAACATATATAATCCAGTTTTAACCTAGATGTTTTACGTTTATGCATTACAAAAACTAGTTTATGCAAAGCTTGCCGTTGACCCGATCTAATTTGTATTTTGTGTGCAGGTTTCTCCCTAGATTATAAGGATGAAGGTGTGGACAGTCTTTTGCTGCTAAAAGAAAAACTGGATAACCCTGACCATTCGGTCTTATATAAAACCTGCTCCGACCTCACCAAGGTAACACTCAGCACGGCTGTCTTAGACATTCTCCTATAGTACATGTATTCAATCCTTCTGTTTCCCTGACAAGGAAGATATCTGTTCATTCAATATTGTTTTGTTGTTTTGCCTTTATTCTGCAATCAATATTACCTCTCTTCACTGTTTATGTCAAGATAGACAAACCTGTTTGCATCTTTGTGTGTGTCAGGTGATGAGCAAGCGCCTCCCTCAGCAGCAGCTGACCACGCTGGTGTTCATGTTGTTTGAAGGGCTGGTTGACAGTCAGGCAAACTGCTGCAGAGCCTCGTCTGTCATCCTCAATACTCTGCTGAAGAACAGAGGAGGAGGACTGCAGGAGCTGGTAGAACACTCACACACACACACACACACACACACACACACACACACACACACACACACACACACACACACACACACACACACACACACACATATGTCACACAGGCCTTTGTTGCACCAGCTAATTCATTGCCTCTTTGTATTTCAGGTCCCAGAGATGCTGGAGGTGCTACATGTGCGTCTGCAGAACATCACAGAGGAGCAGGTACCAACTGACAGTGTTTGATATTTAGCATAATGTGAATATTTTTTATAAATGTTTAGCTAATATTTGAAATTCTATCCAATCATCAATGAGCTATCCCTGCTAATCTGTTTCTTTGTACCCATGCTTAGGTGCGAGTGGCAGTGGGACAGACGGTACTAATCCTGGCTTCTCAGCATCTACAGACTGTCGTCAATACACTAGTCAACCAACCACTGCCGTATGACAGGTATATATATCATTTATTATAAGTTTCTTTTGCCTTTGTAGGACAAAGGATTTCTCATAGAACTAAGAGTTTATTTTTTAAATGACTTTTTATTTTTCTCTTTGTCCAGTTGGACCAGTGAGATGTGGATGGCCTTGGGGGCGGACCCCATCGTAGCCAATCAGATCATGGAGATGGTGATGGAGAAGCTTCTCATCATGGCGCCCTACGTAGACCAGAGGGACTCAATGATGAGAGGAGGGACGACGAAGGTGGCAACCAATCAGCCGCTCGCTGTGAGTCTCAAACTGAATACATCGTATTGCATCAAGCTTGAGATAAAAATTAAGATTGATTTTATCCTATACAATTCCCCTCAACATAAATATGAAAGCAATGCTATCAAAGGGAAATGTTTAAGTAGCAAAAGAGGATGATTCTCATATTTTTGCATGTGTCTTTTCTTTGCTTCCAGATGACATGTGGTCTCAAAGAGCTGTTATTAAATGGCCAGAGTCAGGAGCCGGCACTCAGCCTGTTCCCTCAGCTCTTCTCCTGTCTCACTGTCCGACTGGGAGCAAGTGTCGGGGTCTCGGCACCGAAGGACAACAACAATAAACACACTGCCTCCATCCACGTAGCAGGGTGGGCTTATTTTTCTCTTTAGAGCTGGTAAAATGTAAATGGTATTGTCTGTTCAACCTTCATTTGAAGTGTGTCTGTGTGCTAACTATTAGGTGTCATTTGTTTTTGTGTATCAGGGTAGCAGCTGACGCTCTGCGGATCTTGTTAGCACGGGCTCAGTTAGATGAGGTGATGAAAAGACTGGATGAGGATAAAGCCTGGGATGCAATGAAGGAAGCAAATGCACACGTAATTGGAGTCACACTGCTGGCAAGGTACGCATACGCACACCAGCTGGGTCACTTTGAGATCTCAATCTGAAATGTACAGTTGATAAATGCTGTTACAGACAAGTACAACTATTACATTGAACAGGAGTCAAATCGTTTTCTGTCTCTTTAAAAAGTAAGTATGTTAAGGTGTTGCTTGATATGAAAAACACCATCCTTCTGCTTTTGCATTATTCCTATCTAAAATGAGGGCTGATTTTAGATAAGAAAACCTACATTTTTATTTTATCTTTTAGATTAAAATGTCATAAAAAAGCAAAACATGTCTTGTTTTTTCAGTTTAAAACCAAAAGATATTCAGTTTAATTTGATAAAAAAAAAAGCAGATACTATTCAAATTTTACAAACACAGCCTTTTTGGTTTTTGCCAATCGATTAATCGTTGCTGCTACAATTTAAATGTATGTCCTCACCAGTACTCCAGCTATCGTTTCATATAGTCTCATAACTAGTAGAAAATGTGTTCCAAATAAATAATTCCTCAATATATATAAGGCTAGAAATAAATGTGTGTGTTCGTCTGCAGGGCGATGGCTAAGCATGCTGGTCCGAGGCTGCCCTCCATCGTGGAGTGTCTGTGTCCGTCCCTGAACAACATCTACGAATGCCAGAGAGTCACAGTTACTGCTTTCTTTTCTGAGGTGATGCACTATGAAATATTGCACATCGTTTTGTTTTTCTGTGTTCGAAAGGGGCAGCTAACCCCATGAAGTGTAAAAAAATAGCCACAAATGCCACTAAATAATAAAGAATATCATAACATAGGTATCCTGACACCTCTCTTTTGCTCTCATTTCCTGGATCCAGCTGTTAAACCATCACGTGGTGACGGAGTTGATGTTGATAGATGTGTTGATGAACAACATGATGGAGAGGATATCAGATCCCTGCTGCACTGTGCGCATGCTGGCTGTGCGAGGGCTGGGCAATATAGCCTCGGGATCACCTGAGAAGGTACTGAGCTCTCACACACACATACAACAGAAGGGCTGCACAATTAATGGAGATGTTAACTAAATTGCACAATGGACTTGGTCAATTATAATTCACAGGAAGCACAGTGTTTATAAAAGTTAAAATGTTCTGAAATAGCATTTAGAATCATCATTTATTGTGGAACTGCAGAGACATGCCGACCAACAAATTGTGTTCTTAAGACTTTAAAACATATTTGTTTGATTCTTGGTTCCTCTTTCTAACCCTGGCTTCCTTCTTCCACCAGGTGAATAAATATGCCAAGGAGCTGCTGGCAGCCATGAGCTCAGGCATGGAGGAGAAAGACGATCCAGGTAAAGTGACAGCAGTCATTTCTCATGGTGGGAAACATGAGAAAGTTACATTAATCTGAAGTCTGGCTCTCCTGATTTATTTACTTACGTTTACAGTCCAGTGGTTTGGGGTTTCACTTTCCCTCACCACATGTTTATCTTAATCTCATTATTGATTGATTGTCATTCGTAGAAAATGTTTTTTAAGTTCTCTCTTTATCCCTCAGGTAAGCTGATCACCCTTGAAGCCATGTCAGGTCTTTCCAAAGTTCTCCTCTATCTGGACAAGAAGAACGTCCACTTATTAGTGGTCTATATCTTCATGAAGATTAAACCATTCTTGGAAAGCGTAAGTTTTGTCTAAGTTACTCAACATTTTATTTGATTACATATATTGTATGACGTCTAGAAAAATTAAAGGATCAAAGTAACTATTTTTTGACAGTTCTGGAAGTTTTTGCGAATACTTCAGCAAAGAGACCGTTTAGTTTCTTTATCTTATCCAGAGCCGATGTGGGTTGGTGTTCTGTGTCTCTGTTCAACACACACACACACACACACACACACACACACACACACACACACACACACACACACACACACACACACACACACACACACACACACACACACACACACACAGAACTAAATATCTTGCTTTTGCTATTCCAGGAGAACGATGAGATCCGCTGTGCTTCCATCCATCTGATGGGGAACCTGTCCAAGTTTGGCTCAGGAGAGCCGGTCTTCAAAGACCAGATCCACAATGTCCTGGTCAGCCTGCTGTTACACCTGGTGGACCCTAACCCAGAGGTGGTCAAGGTACTGAGAGAACTAAATGAATAAACTCTGAACCTACAGGGCATACTGCTACATTGTTAAATACTGATATCTATCTTGTTTTTGCATCTGTCCAGGCGTGTAAGTTTTCCATGCGAGTGTGTGCTCCTGTGGTGGGATCAGAGCAGATCACCACCATGTTTCAGAACCACCTCCACGAGGACAAGAGCTTACACTACGGAGAGTTCATCAACGACCTCACCAAGTACCTGGTAAGACACAGACACTCAAACACATGCACGGCTGGAAAGGGGTATCCTGCAACTCCTTCGAAAATAATAAATGAAAGGGATATAAAGCAGGAGGTCGGAAGTTTCTCAGTGAAGTTAGTTGGATTTAGATTCAGCTTTTTTGATGCTATTTAACAAAAAGAGCTATCAAAGTCTGGAAAAAAATGATTGTATATGTTCAACATACACTTTATTTGTTGTGGTTCATAGATTCAGGACTTTCCCGGCATGCTGAACTTCTATCACATCTCCGTCATCCAGTTCTTCAAGAGCAGCTGGGCGGAGGTCCGGGCCGGAGCCGCCATGTTTATAGGTGAGAACATGAACGCCTCAAACTAGTGAGACTGTGTACGGACCACAGACAGTTTGTTCATGGTAATATAATGCAACCTGATTTAAGGTGTGTGTGTGTGTGTGTGTGTGTGTGTGTGTGTGTGTGTGTGTGTGTGTGTGTGTGTGTGTGTGTGTGTTCAGGGTTTCTACTGGGGAATCTTCAAGAGGAGCATTTTTCCCACCTCAACATGGGCACCATCACTAAAGGTGATTCACTGCACATCCTTGCTTCCTCCGTAATGTAAGGTCATTCTGTTTTCCTTCTGGTATTGACTGAGTGTTTGTCTTCAGGTTTAGTGATGCTGCTCAAAGATCCAGATCCTGTGGTGAGAGTGAAGGCTGCGGAGGCCATGGGACATTTCCACTGACACACAGAGACAAAGAGATGCATACCAATCATGTGTGGTGGTAGGTCACCCCTACACAGAAAACAAACTACGATATATATATTTATGGTTTTAAATAGTCAAAAAAAATTATTTGCAGTAATTAAATACAGAAACGTCATTCAAACCAAAACTATGACCAAAGCAGGAATTATGTGCTGTGAAACTTTACCAATGTTAAAAAATCATTAAAAAAAAACACTGATAATACTTATTCAAAAACACAATGCACATATATTTAGCATTAGCAGCTTTGTCAAGCCTCTTTTTCCACCTAACTATGGTACTTGAAAGGAAGTTTCATTTCGTAGCTATATTTTAGTGACCAAAGACTGTGTTGCTGTATACAGATCACATTCATTTCCTGTAGTGTTTAGCGTTCAGTCTGAGTGACAATACCAGAGATATACTGTGTTCTTTCAAAGAAATCTACCAAGATGTTTCTAATGATAACATGCATGACAACATTTCCATATGTGTGGTCATACCAGCAATCCATGACAGCGTATTTAATGTGAGTTTTAGTTTCAGACAATCTCTTTTCAAAATATTTTAGAGTGAAACAGCAACAAGATTCATCCCTACAGTCCATTAAAACTCAATGAAGCATTTTAGGTCTATTAAATGGATTGTTACGTTGAGTAAATTATGTTGAGGTCTATAATAGAGAACACGCTGAATGTACTAGAGCTACAGCAGGGCTTTCATTTGTTTTATGTTTTGGAATTGTTTGTGAAAGATAAAAAACTGGATGGTAAGATGTAATCGCTATGTCCAGCAGTTCAGATCATCTAGCAGATTTTGACAAATCAGACAGCAATAACCCATCAGTAAATACCTTTTTACTTTTTATAACCAACCAGAACAGTGTTAGGACATTTAAGCTTTTTAACCCCACGGTAATGTTGGTGCCAAGCTTCCATTTCCAAGCAGTAAGCTCAAACTTCGCAAACTTCCTGAAGTTGGAATCATTGCGCTCCATATTTTCATTCCACATAAGACAGCTATTAGTTTAATACACACAGTTGAACTTTTGATTCTATTTCCCATAATGGGTCGGTAAGAAAGTCATTAGTGTTTGTTGTTGTAACACTCATTTTGGCCACAGGGGGCTGGAGTGCACCACTACTCTATTTTTTGAAAGTGCTAAAAGTTATTAAAATGCATTTCTAGTATGTTCAATAACTTGCAAATACACAATACAAACTCGCCTAAAAAAAAAAGTGATGCTTTTAGACCTTTTTAAAAAAAATGTCCCCATCTTGTGGGTGAAATTAGTCGCTTTATACCATCTGCTTTCTCAGTTTTAAAAAAATAAACTAGTGAATGCTTATTGCCATTACATTTATTTTAGGATGGATTATACCTTTTCATAATTACAATTTAGTTTACATTTAGGATTATTTATATGCGAGGTGATAATTCTGTGCATTTTTAGACAGGCCAGCCCTCCAGACCTAACTATTCACAAAAAAGTACTTCCAAATCAGAGCCGCCATGAAAAGAGTCAGTGCCAAATGTTCATTACATAATTTATAACCGGACCAGATAGATGCTGTGAAAGATTTTCTCTCTCACATGCCGTTGTTTCCATATAATTATTCCATTAAATGTTTCACCTCTTAATATCTTACTATGTAAATAAATGTGTGAGCGTTATACTCTGTAAGGATGTTTATACATGTTACCTTTATGTCTGCAAACAAATTCACTCGATAGACAACAAAGAGTGATGCAAAATAATCATAATGCATTTTTAATTGAATTTCATCTAGAGACAAATGTCCAATACAGAGTCAGGTACAATCAATGCATTGTTTGTTCCAGGTTAATGATAATATCTTGTCTCAAATGTTTCTGTTGCACTTTTTAGCTGTCATCTAGTCCCTGATTTTAAGAACTAAAAGGCAAAAATCATAAATCCTCAATAGCAAAACATGTGGAAAGCATCTCTATATGTTTGCCATAAGATACCTTTTGGCATTCTGGTTATTTAAGACACAAATGTTTCCCCTAATGTGACAAGTTATTTGTGGTTAGAGAACAGAGCGTACAATAGGCTGCTCCTGGATCAGTATTCGTTGCACTAGATGTTCTACAAAACAGGGACTCGTGGCTTCTAGCACTTTCTAACACTATGGCTTGGTTAAGGGGTGAATGGTAAATAGTAATAATAAATGTTATGAGTTTTAAAATATGTTATTGACTTTATACCACTGATATGATTATCTCATTTCATCTACTTGTTTTTATTAACAAGTTGAATGCTGTAAATGTATGTGTATGACACACATTACTGGACCAGAAGAGTGTGGATGTTGGCAATCAAATGTATTTAAAATGAAGAAATAAACATATCCATCAAAAATGTAACGGCTGCATTTTTTTCTTTGTGTGTTAAGTGTAGTTTTCTCTGTGTCCACACGGGCGCAGTCAAGAGCAATGTATTGTAATGTTTCATTAAAAATGCTGTTTCAACTTCTTGATGTCCAGGCTTACCCATTATGTCAGTGTTCCTGTGTCTCAGGTGCAGTTTGACAGCAAAATAGACAATAATAAGTTCATCATTGCTTTCAGCCTTACAGTTCCTCCCTTCTCTTTATTATTTGTGTGTGTTTGGACTGACACATCTGAAACAAGAACACTGAGTGTGGTGTAGCGTGAGTTTGAGACCACCCTTGGGTTTTTGTGCCATAACAGCAGCAGTGTATGATCCACTTGAGCTGTTGAATAACCTACAGACAGTAAACACAGCTATTGTGTGTTTCAGACAGGATGATCCTGAGCCTTCATCCTGCCAGCTGTATAATGTCCTGTGTGTCTGTTTCTGTGTGTTCGAGAGAGAGAGAGAGACGCACTGGCCTTCACTTGCCTCTTTTATCTCCAGGTGTGAATGCAGTTTAAATAGTATTTTTCATAAATTAGAACATCTTGAATATTGATCTTACGCAGAAGTTTCAATGAAATATTTAAGAAAATGTGTGAGTGGAATGTTACTAAGTACATTTGCTGAAGTATTGTATTTAAGTCTAGATTCAAGGTACAGCATCACAGTGGAAACTAAAGAATGCAATTCCTGAATAAATTGCTAGTGGGAATGCTTTATGCTGAAAAGCTGACGCTAAACTACTATGCTGAAATGTAATGTGTAAGAAGAAAGTGAAGAATTTAGATTGAAATGATACATGAATACTGGGGGCTTGAATGTGTGATGAGAGAAGAAAAGAAAGTAAAAAGTCTTGGAAAAGCAAGAGAATATTTGAACTGCAATCTTTTGAACTAACTTGATGGTGAATGATCTGTCGCCATGCCAACGGCATTTGATGACATCCCATAATACGCTTAGACGCATTGATGGCTGCATCGTTACCAAGCCTGTGAATCTTTGGGCCATTTGGAGCATTTTCACTGAAGTTATGAGAGAACCGTGTTTCATTGTGTTGCCATGGCAATGGCATTTGAAGAAATCTCAAAATTGCCCCGTATATGTCTTCACGGCTGGATTGTTAGCACACATGTGAAGTTTGAGCCCTTTTGGAACATTTTCATAGGAGTTATAGCGACATCGTCTTTTATGCCGAGGGATGCGGCATATGATGAAACCCCATAATTGACGTAGAGCTGTTGAGGGCTGGACCGTTAACCATTATCTGAAGTGTGGTGCTGTTTTGACCCTTTTCATAGGCTTTACGACAACATCGTGTTTTATGGCGAGGGTTATTTTTGAGATCAAAGGTTTCCATGGTGATCAAAAAAATGTGGCAAAGGCTCAAATTTGTTGAACAACACATTTCTAACAGGTTCGTTGATTGACCAAAAAATATCAACAGTTGGAAGATTGAAAATGGGATTATTATTTGTAGGTCATTGAAAAGTAGAATCATTTAGATATATGTGAACATTGAAGTTTAGATTTTAGAAAAGCTGACACTGTAGTACACCACTGGTTTTAAAAGTGATTCATAAGAGTCATGTTTAAAGATGTGAAAGATCCTCTTGTAAGTAAGCGCCACGATAAATCATGTAATAGAATAGATTATATTGAGTAAGGTTATTCGAACGTATATCATGAGAATTAGAAGTGGCATGAAGTGAAAAACAACTTTTGATAAGCAGTAGTACATAGGGCGAGATGAGAGCATGATAAAGAAAAACATAAATGAAAAATTATAAATGCAACGTGATATAAAAAGACATAAAACAACGTGACAACCTCTTCCGTACACTGGATGAGACATCGATACAAGCATACTGGTTTATTTCTGCGGAAACTAGACAATACGATGTCGTGTGTTAAGAAAGAACGAAGGGCGCCCAATAAAACGCGGTGCAGAGGAGGGTGATCACTTTGAGCGTCTTTGAGGCAAGCTTGTAGTTTTGCAAGTCGAGCCAGCCCCTTAGCTACTATAATTAAATAGTAAGTATTGATAAGTATCTAAGGTTCCCCCTTTAGATTGTATGGTATTAATAGTCAGTCTAATCACAAGTATGTACCTTCAGATACCTCTTTGAGTAAGTCGGTGAAGTTGTTAGAAGTACGTTGAAGTGATGAGTAGACGAGGAAGTATGAAAGTGTAGTCTTTGGAGTAAGGTTGAGAATTTTCAATGTGTAGAAAGACTGTATATAAGCAGCATTGTTTGAAATTTAGTCTAAGAACGAAAATGTCTAAATGTTGTACAAGTCTGTCAACCTGTCTCTCGAAGAAGTCTAAAATCTCACGCACTACAGTGCGATCTCACTCCTCCGTCTAAATGTAAAACGGAAGTATAGAAAGAATTTGACGATATATAAGGGTTTGGGATGTAAAGGACTCTGTATTTAAAAATACTGTTGCACCTTTTGTAGAGCACTCGAATCCTTTCTATCGTTTTATTAATTCGTTTTTCTATTAATTGTTTTACCGAGGAACTCATCGACTTCACTGTTTTTGCGAGAGTCGTATACAGAGTAACTTGCGGTAACATTTACATCGCGGAGTGGAAAGGGGTGGTGTTCGTCGGCACGTTTGAAATCAATAGGACGGTTTTCCGTGTAAAATTGGGCTTTCATGTGTTTTTCATAGTGAAGTCTACGAGTTCAAGAACTGTACGAAGTGCGAAACTTACAGTGCTATAGACAATGTCAGGAAGTTACTGGCAAACGTGTACTTGTCCAAAAGTAGAGAGTAGCGCGTTGGACTTTTACGAGAGGAGGCGGAGTGACTAGTGGTACCTTTGGAACTAAAGACTGCTACAGAATTTGAGTTATATTTATAGGACACATATACATTGTGCTACTACAGGTATTGAAGGTGTAACTGGGGATTAATCTCGTCGTCTGATTACTGCACCAGTTACCTCACATTGTCGACAAGTCGATAAAAAAGAGGCAAGACTTACTCTGAAAGTATGACTGAAGTTGTAGCAAAGGTGTATATAAAAACTGTAATAACCCCACTCATACGAAAATCAAGATTGCAAAAGTCAAAGTTTATAAGACGACGAAGAATACGTAAATCTGAACAAAAAAGAACAAGAATAAAATGTAGTTCAGGGAGATAAGTACCTTGGGAAAGTTCATAAGTCTGGTGTGATGAATATATGGTCCACGTTGATCAACGATACACTCAATTAGAAGAGGTAATGTTCCACCAACAAACTAAGTTAGAGAACTTCAGTGATTACAGTTCCATAAATAGGGATTGTAAAATAGCGATTGATTACT